GTAATCTGTAAATTATGGGGAAAAGGCTTTGGTTGGTTGTGAAAACATGATACTTCTTTACCAGCTGATCACCATTTGTGGAAGGAGGAGGTGTGTGATGAGTCCAAAGTTTGGTGGTGGTGGTTCTTGGCTTAGGGTTCATTCCCCAGGCTTTGCCTTCTAGTTGGGGACACTGTTCCCCATCCCCCTGCCCCCCAGTCCCCATCCCTTCATCTGGATGCAGCTGCCAAGGAGTCAGATCCAGATCTGGCTCACCTGTGTCCATAGCACAGGAGACCATGGAGGAGCCGGGGTACCAGGGACCCTGGATCTGTTCCTGATTCTTTCTTTCGTCCTGGCCAGTGCCAGCCTGCCCAAAACACTTGCAGCTCTAACCACTTTTACTAAAGGAAAAGTACTTTATAAAATGGAATGAAAACTTACAATTCAGTATGGGTGGGATAAGTCAAGGTTGCTTGCCCAAGACTTAATGAATCAACAGTTCCTGTCTACTTCTGACTCTACTTTGCTAAACATGAAAGCAGTTAATGCACTATCTAAATCACCTAAAGCACGGCTTGCCTGAGAGTGCATCAGAGAACAGGTGGCTAATTGAGGCTCACTTTCTAAATTTCAGAACCCGTAATCCTATACCCTGATCAACTTCGAGGTGCCAAATTGGCCTTTGTGTAGTGCAGTTCATGTGGCTATGACATGTGTCACCAGATGCTGTCATTCTGAAACAAGACTGTTCCTCTTTATAGCTATGGGGGTCATTTTCTGTCTGGCTGATAGCAAAGAGGGTAAAGCCCTGTGTTGGTGAGACATCATCTCAGATAGAAGGATGACAGCATCTAGAGAGGCCTGCGGGTGAAGGGAAGGGTGAATGGTGAATGGGCTACACTTTATCTTAACATTTCCAGTCTCTTTTTGTAGCTAGGCATGAGCTAGTTGCTTGGTAAGAAGAGAAGCCTGCCTGTTCCTTCACCATCAAATGCAAGGCTCTTTTGATTGTCCAGGTGTCCAGAGAGAAGGAAAACTTGTTGGGGCCACAACACCTGTCACTGTGCTAAGCTCCTAAACAGCCATGTCATCCTCTGCCTGCTCCTCTCCTTCCTGGGCTGGGGGCGCACCCCATCAGGGAGTCCCCTGGGCACACTGTCTCTTGCTTCAGTACCCACCGACGCTGTGTCAGGCCCCTGGCTGGCTGCTATAGCTCCCCTCTCACTGGTAGAGAACATGATTCACTTCCACTCCCCACCACCCACTTAGAAGTTGCTTTGTTTTTTGCTTGTGTTGTTGGAGTTTTCTAGAATCCAGCTCTTTCCCTTTGGGTCAATGCCTCTTCCCCTAGCTTCCTTCCAGCAGGCCTCTGGGCATTGAACTTCTGGAGCTTCATGCACGTAAGCTCCACATCCCTGATGAACCCAGGCTCCCGGTGGAGGTGCTGCGTCCCTGCAGGGATGAACAGACACTGAACGCAGCTATGTGACATGTTTGCCTCTGAGGCTCCAGCCTCCCTGAGGGCAGTGATTGTCCCATCGTGCAGTAATGATAGGAGCTCTAACCTCAACAGTGGTTAGAGGAGAAATGCCTACTAGCTGCTAAAATAGGAACGGTTGGCGACCTTGTGGCTTCCCTGTTCTAAGCATGTCTGTGCTCACAGATGGGGGCTGGAGGCCTCACACTGATGGCATGTTTGACCCTTCAAAGGTCTATCTGTACCCCATACCACTGACAGCTCACAACTGCCCTGTGACCGAGGCTGGCAGGGCCCCTTCTTACCCAGGTGTCCTGCCATCACCTCAGACCCAGCAGGTCTGGAACTGAGGTTGTCGGCTGCCCTAAGCAGGTTCAGGCTCCTGAGCACTCCCAACCTTACCAGCCCGGGCTCCTGGGTTTTAAATATGATACACCTTTGACTCATGTTTCACTTCACACCACCTCCCACGGGTCCACCCAACCTTCTATTTGCCAAGTACAAACTCATCCCTGGGCAGAAGGCCTGTGGACCTCCTTTTATGGCCCTTCTGTTGTAGGGGGTTGTGGCCTGGGCCCTCTGGGCTTGGCACCTACTCACTATCCTCTCCCTTCTACCCTGTTAGTAAGGCCCCAAATGGGGCCTGACTGTGAAATGTGAGATCTTCTTAAAGATCTGTCATGTTTACATCTGAGGCCGCTTGGTTTGTTGTGCACTGGCACCCGGACCGTGGAGTAGTGGGTGTGATTCCCAAGCTCCTCTCATTAACTACCCTTGTTACACTTATGTGAATTCTGTGAAAGGTTTTGACTCATCATGAGCAGCTGGATGCTCCGGTGTAATCTCATCAACCACTTTGATATTTGCCAACTACATCCTGCCCTTACATGCAACTCCACCCTTCCATCCCCTCTGCCTGGAATAGCATTCTCCCCCTTATCTTCTGGGAAAACTTCTACTCATCCTTCAAGACCCTGAGAAGCCACATACCTGCCTCTATCAGCTTACCCCATACTGTGCCATCGTTAATTTGTTTATACTTTTGTCTTCATGAGACTGCATGGTCCATGGGTGCAGGGTCCAGGTCTGATTTGTGAATATCTCCCCAGTACCCAGCACAGCATGGTTCAGAAATGTGGGTAGAATAGATCTCTCCATTTATTCTCAATTATTCACTCACAAGCTTCCTCGTGCCAGGCACTGTGCTAGGCACTGGGCACATAGGGGTGAACAAGATAGACAGGGACACCTGCCTCCATGGAGAGGGTGAGCAAGGCCACTTAGCAGGCACACAAGTATATGGACGAGATCCTTTGAAACTGCCACGCTTGGAAGGGGCTGCTGTAGATGGAGGTGTGCAGGGAAGGCCTGTCTCAGAAGTCACGTGGCGCTGACTCCCGGAAGATGAGAATAAATGAACAAAGCAGAGAGCTGGGAGAGCAATCTCAGGGCTGAGCGGATGGCAGGTGTGAAGTTACAGAGGAAGACAAGGTCTTGGAGCACTGGGGGTGGGGTGCAGGGCACAGACAGGAGACCAATGCTACTGGTACATGAGCAATGGGGAAGGCAATATGGGGTTGGCCTGGCCGGATCCTCTTTAATAGGTTGCAGTGAAGCAAGCAATTTGGACTTTTCTTCAAGAATAGTGGGAAGTCCTCAGGGGAAAGTATTTCAGCCCTTTAATGTCTCTGAACAGGTGGGAATGTGGATTATTGCCCTGGAATAATCATGTGTGATCGTGTGCCCTTTTCCTGCTACCTCTACTTTCATCCCCCAAGCCCCCAAGCTTGCTTTCATTCAGCCCATGAGATCTGCACATCTTTGGGGACTCTAGTGGCCTGGGCTGCTCTTCTCAGCAGGGGCAGCTCTGTCCCTTGCTGCAGCCTTGTGTATAGTGGCTCCTGCCACAGCCTTGAGGGGCCGATGAGGCTCCCACCTCCTCTGCAGGCTCCCGTTCTCATGCCCGAGTTGATTGTGCAATGGTCCTTGGACTGCTGAGGCTCAGTGCTCGTTCCCAAACCTTCCTTGGCCTTTACTCCTATGAATCACTGCCCTCCCTCTCACACAAGTAGTTGCTTATCTCTGCCATGCCTACCTCCTCCAGGGGAACCAGCCTTTTGGACTTACCTGGGTTCTCCCTTCCTAGGCCTAGCCCATGTGGTATAAAGTCTCTCATCCTGGCACAAATACATCCTGAGATCATCGCCTCACTTTGAAAACAGAAACAAAAACAGGGAACATATATTGAGCACTTGCTATCTATAAGGAAATGTGCTATTTTCTATGAAGTGTTAATTCCTCATTTAATCATGACATCAACCTGGTGAATCAAGTGCTGGTATTCTCTGCATTTTACAGATGAGGATACTGAGGCTCAGAGATCATATTGTAAATGGCAGAGCAGGGTTTGAACCCAGGCTATTTTTAACAACTATTGCCTGGCACAGTCCTGTGTGGTTCTTTGTGGTCCTAAAATCTTTATCCACACCATCTCCAAAGCCACTTCTCTGTGGCTGCTCACTTTCCTTTCTTCCCTTTGAAAGTCCAGCTTCGCAGCAAACAGGAGCCGAGACCCCCAAGGACCCTCTGTTTCCTGACCCGGGTCATCCTTGGGTAGAGGAGCCAGGCCCATTCTCCACAGCACTTATGCCCATTGGACACGTTCATAGGCCTTGCTGAAGGGGCAGATAAGAGCTCCTGCCTGGTCTGCCGTTTATGGCATGTGAACTAGGGATTACAAATGCAGTTGTCGCTCCCTACCACCAGGGAGTGGGTGGGAAGCCATAAAATGAGAAGAGGCTGCAGAAGACAGTTTAGCTGAAAGATCTTCCGTAGAGGCAGCGTTGTCCAGCGATGGGACTAACTGCCATCTGCTCCGTTAGGCAGGAGACTTGGCTTGGTGGGGGTGGGGTGGCCTCTGTGTCCCTGGAGAAGCTCTTCAGTCCTGAGGAGATGGCAAGCTGCACCTTGCTGGTGTCAGGTAGCCTAGCACTAAGATGGTGAGAGGAAGTGCTCCAGGTGCCTGGGACAGAGCTCTCCCCATGGAATGGGCCCGCGGCCTCCCTCGGCCAGGCACTTTTGACCACCGGGGAAGGTGGCAGCTGAGACCTCTCAGCCTGGATCACAGCCACCGGACGAAGGCACTGCAGGTGCATGACGCATGTGGCTCTAAGACAGACGTGCCTGCTGAGAGTCCTGACCCCAGCTGCGGCAGGGCACGTCCTCACAGAGTCCTTTTCTCCAGACTGGCCTGGCAGAGGAGCTTCCCCAGTGTCAGCTGCAGCTTCTGGAACCTGGGACCATAATGGCGGCTCTTAATCTCAGAAGTGAATGGGCTCGTGTGCTAACGCTGCAGGAAGCAGCGCCAAGAGGGAGAGGATCTGGAGACGGCAGAATCGGGGTGGGTGTGGGGTGGGGGGTGGCCGGCTCCGCTTCTTGTGAGAGTGGCCCGCTTGACGTTCTAAGTGGAGGGTTTGCGGTCTTGCGTGCGTAACGTGGGCCTCTCTGCAACTTTTCCTTTGTCCTGTGCTTGAACTTTCAGTAAGAGACGAAGAAGAAGACTGAGGGGAGAGGAGCCATGGCTTCGGATGCCAGTCACGTGCTGGAAGCTGCCCTGGAGCAAATGGACGGGATCATCGCAGGTATCCTCAGAGGGGTCCAGGGGTCCCAACACCTGACGGCTCGTCTTCCACACCTCAGAGGCTGTTTTGTCCCATTCCACTTTTCTTTCTGGCACAGCGAGAAGCCCCTCGGTCGGTTTATTTGATTTTATTTGCATGCTGTCTCTTTTTTTTAAGAGTTCAGACTTGCAGAACGCCTTGATCTCTGGTGCAAGTTTAGGTCTCCGCCGAGGCAATGTGGGTGTGCCATAGATAAGCATGACTTGAACGGACGCGCTTCGGCTCCTGGCGGTGAGGCAGTGTGGGTGCATTAAGGTTGTTTTTACTGTAAATTTGTCAGAGCACATCATGGGTTATCATAGGTGAGCTGAAACGAAACTCAGAGTCTAGAGACCTTGGTGCCTATTCCAGCGTCTGCTCGCTTCCCCAGCTGGTCTCCAGTGTGTTTGGGAATCAGGAGGCAGTTTGGTATGGATTCACCTCCTCCCTGTAGGCCATATTGTTTCTTACCTATCTGCTTGGACACTGTTTGACTTAAGGTCCACATTAGCCAGTTAAGAATATTCCCTAGATGGGGCGCCTGGGTGGCTTAGTCGGTTAAGCGGCTGACTTTCGCTTAGGTCATGATCTTGCGGTTCGTGGTTCGAGCCCCGCGTCGGGCTCTGTGCTGACTGCCAGCTCAGAGCCTGGAGCCTGTTTCAATCTGTGACTCCCTCTCTCTCTGACCCTCCCTTGCTCACGCTGTCTCTCTCTCTCTGTCCTAGAAATAAATAAAAAACATTAAAAAAATTAAAAAATAAAATAAGATGGGCATGGGGCGCCTGGGTGGCTTAGTCGGTTAAGCGTCCGACTTTCGCTTAGGTCATGATCTCGCGGTTCATGGGTTCGAGCCCCGCGTCGGGCTCTGTGCTGACTGCCAGCTCAGAGCCTGGAGCCTGTTTCAATCTGTGACTCCCTCTCTCTCTGACCCTCCCTTGCTCACGCTGTCTCTCTCTCTCTGTCCTAGAAATAAATAAAAAACATTAAAAAAAATTTTATAAAAAAGAAAAAAAAAAGAATATTCCCTAGAAAAAATTCAGCGAAACTGGTTAATTGGAAAGGAGTGTCAGTGGGATGTTTGGGCTGATTAACTCCTTGATAGGGGTGACCCGAAGTCCTACTGATTAGAATAAACCTGTCATTGAAAATCCTTCTGGAAGGCCCCACATCCTCTTTCTGTCCTGACCTGATGACAAGTCAGTGGTTCTATTTGCTGACTGGCCAGGCTTCTTTGGGACTTGGCTCCTATCTGTGAGGAGCTGTGGTTGGAGGAGGCGGGGGACGAGCGCTTGGGCTGAGCGTGGCTAAAGCCCAGGATATGGACACCAGACACCGCCCCTTGCCAGGCATTTGCTTCCCCTTCCACCCTGCGGGGACAGTCTGGCTCACTGAGGATTGTGGGTGCTGGCACCTGGGGTAGGGGAGGTTGTGTGTTAAAGCTTCTTCATGTTCTTGGTGGCACTGTAACATGTCCTAGCTGTCATCTGTCAGGCTCCCCATTTCTCACTGAACATAAGAGCTCTTGAGAGGCCCTACAAATGTCCTGCTTCTCTAAGGCTGTACAGACTGGGATGTCCTGTTCTGCATTAGGGCCTCCAAAAGCCCCTTGAGAGGAAACAGTCGAGAGTGCGGATTTCCTAGCAGTCGTTGTAGTCCCATCTGGAAGCTGTCTGGGGCTCATGTGCAGTGGGATCTGAGCCACAGGGTCCGACCCTCAGACCTCAAAGCTCTTGGGTGGGTGTGAGGGCTGAATGGACACCTCCTAAAGAAGGCAGCTGGTGTGGGGCCAGTCCCTCTTCCTGCCTCCTAATTTCTCCACATTGGCATTCCTAAAATGATGACGCCTCTGGCAAAATACCCCATCTCTGACAGAGCTGTGTGTGACCCCCCCAGGGCTTTGCCTTAACCCAGGATGTGCAGGTGAAGATCTAGGATGGATAAAGAGGAAGGGCCCTGGGGCTGGGTGGTTCAGAACCCAGGAGCCCCATACTCCTGCCTGTCCAGCACAAACTGCTCCCTCCTTCTTCCCTTTCCTTCATCATCCACCCTGGCTGGTTCCTTCTAGAAGGGCTCCTTGGGCAGCTTTGCCTGGAACAGCCTACATTCCAAGGCATTCTTTGCAGATTGGTCAGGACAAGCACCTTCAGACAGGCTGCTTGGATCAAATCCTGCCTCTACAACAACCTATTTACCTGACTGTGCCTCAGTTTCCTCACATTTAAAATGGGAATAATCATAGTACCCACCTTAGAAGGTTGCTATACTTATACACATGAGGTGCTGAGGATAGCGCCTGGCATGTAGTAAGCCTTACAAAATGTTAGCTTTTGAGAAATTAATAAGGAATAAAAAAAAGAATCTTTATTATGTTATATCTTCTTTAGGGGCATGATAGAGTTCTTTTATATTCAGGACCTTGTTTCACCCATTTGTGTCTTGTGCTTTTCATTGCATAAGACTTGTGCAGGCCTTGCCAGACTCTCCTGGGATTTGCAAGATTAATGAATGCATAGTCTTCTGAGCGGTCTCTGCCCTGTTCCTGGCCCTCTTTACCTGTGTCTTCCACAGAGAAGTAGAGCAATCTTTGAAACACACTTCAAACCATAGCATTCCTCTCTCCAAAGCTCATCAATGGCTTCCCATCTCAGGATAAAATCTGATGTCCTCGGGGCACCTGAGTGGCTCAGTCGGTTAAGCATCCAACTTCGGCTCAGGTCATCATCTCATGGTTCGTGGGTTCGAGCCCCACATCGGGCTCTGTGCTGACAGCTCAGAGCCTGGAGCCTGTTTCAGATTCTGTGTCTTCCTCTCCCTCTGTCCCTCCTCTGCTCGTACTCTATGTCTCTCTCTCTTTCTCAAAAAATAAACATTAAGCAAATTTAAAAAAAAAATCTGATGTCCTCAACAGACCCAGCACTTCTGTACATGATCTGGCCTTTGATTGCATGCGTGGCCACACCTCCTACCACTTTCTTCCTGGCTTATCTCCCTTTAGCCCACACACTGGCTCTCTCCGGGCCTTGGTGAGTGCTGACCCCTTAGCTGGAATGCCACCCTCCAGATACCCTCAGATCTGATCGCTGCTAAGATGTTGCCACATCACAGAGGTTTTTCCCGACCCTCTCTAATTAGCATCCACTCCTCCTATCACTCTGTCTTTGTATCTTGTTTATATTTCTTTACAGCACTTTCCATCACCTGACCTATTACATCCACATTTGTCTCCCTGTGTATCCTCAGCCTTCTGCACCAGGTTGTAAGTTTCATGAGGCCAGAGGCTTCGCTGTTCCATCTCTAGTGCCTCCATTGGTCCGCAGCACATCTTGGGTGTTTAATAAGTATTTGTCACATACACGTTTTATTTACTTTTGTGAATGGGCTCTCCTTTTCATTGGTTAGGAGGCAGTTACGAGTTTCTATATATATATCCTCTTATCTGGCTGTGTACTGAACTTCATTTACTCTTTTCTTAGTACCTTTCACTGATTATTCTGGAATAACAAATCACCAATATTGTTTTTGAGGATTTGGTGATTGGCATGTTCTGTGAACCATCTCTTAAGTAATAATTGGCTCACCCAGACATTTGACAGGAGCTATTTGGCAGATAATTGAACATTGAAGTAATTAGTGCATGTCTAGAGGGTATACATTCTACACTATTTGTGATGAAAAGAATGATAATTATTAAATGCCTTTGTGCAGGATACTCTTCCACAAGATTATTAATACCCTCCTCATATTCAAGGTGGTGGGCCCAAACTGGACGTAAGAGCTTAAGAGTGAGTTTTTATGGTTGTGGGGTACCTGGGTGACTCAGTCAGTTAAGCATCGGACTTCAGCTTAGGTCATGATCTTGCGGCTTGTGATTTCGAGCCCTTCATAAGGCTCTGTGCTGACAGTTCAGAGCCTGAAGCCTTCTGATTCCATGTCTCCCTCTCTCTCTGCTCCTCCCCTGCTTGCACTCTGTCTCTCTCTCTCTCAAACAAACACTTAAAAAAATTTTTTTTAAATAAGTTTTTATGGTTGTTAATGTGGAGTAAGGAGTTAGACCATTGAGGTTTGAATCCCAGCTCAGTCACTTAGGACTGGCTATGGGATCTTTAGGCAAATTGTTTAATCCCTCTGAGCTCAGTTCCCACATATATAAAATAGTGATAATTGTACCTGTCTCATACTATTAGGAGGATTAAATTAATGGAGATAAGGGGGCCCAGTTCAGTTCTTGTTCCTAGTCCCCTAGCCAGAGTAACTTTGCTTTCATCTCTCTCACACACCAGACTTCCAAGTGAGGGTTCCTTTGCTGTAAGGGTGGCAGCTAAAAGAAAGTTTGAAAACTGTGGTACCACATCCTGATGCCTCAAATCCTGCAAAACAATATTTTTATGTGAACATTTAAATCGTCCTTTCCGTATTGCTGTTCTCCTATTAATTTGAAGTCGAATGATGTCGAGTGAGGCCAACACTACCAAAACACAATTGCTTTTACATCCATTAAGGTGTTCAAATGAGTGCCCAAGGACTGTGTTCTCTCACTTTCTGAAAACACAACTACTACTTTATTTCAATGGAAGAAATTTTTATAGGCTTCCTGTACATTTCACATTGTAGTCATTGATGCAGAAACAACATAGTTTCCTCTTAAAAGGACAGCTCCTTCAATAATGATGCTTCTTAGTTACAACTCTATAGAACAAGATTTCCCTTATTAATTACCCTGTAGTATGATAGGCTCTGGTTCACTTTCCAAAACTCCTTCCAAAAAGAGTACACTTAGGGCATGTGATCTCAGTATTTATGTAAGTAAGTCTTTAATAGAAAAAAAAAAGTTTCTCTTTCCTCCAGACTGATGTAAACAATGCAGACACTATAGGCGATCATCACTCCGATAAACAGCCAGGCCAGGAATACTCTGAGAGGACATCCTGACGCACAGGTGTCAAATTTACTTCTGTCAGACCCACGGTGTGGTGACCCTTGTC